GTACTGTAGATGCGGGTAAACATAATATGCGGCGAAAATTTGATTGGCGAGCGAGGTTGTCTGCAGAAAATCGGTATATTTGCCCGTATGCGGCAGCGAGCATGGGGCATCTGAATGCTGTAAATCTGCAGTGAGCATGGCCAATCGTAACTACTTGTCATGTTGTGACGACGTTTGATGAATGCATAAAGGGTGGCGATGTTTGTGTTGTGTAATGTCACGTCCATGCGCGTCGATGCATGCAGAACGTGTACGTGGATGTTGGGAAGCACACAGCGGCTGAGGTCTACTTTTGCGAAGGTGTCAATGTCGGTGTCATAATGAGCAAGGCGTCATTCCATTCGTAGGTCTCATAAACTGCACGTGATGAACGCACTTGCGTGGTTTCAAGTCGTGAAATGGAGTATTGGGCGAGAGAGGTCAAAAAATATACGAAAAAAAAAAAATTCTAACCCCGTATGCAGCGAATGCATTCATTAATCAAGATGTAGGACTCATTAGACGAATCGTGATATAATATATATATAATTCTGGGGCCAACAGGCAGACAGCGAGATGTGGACGGACGATTCCTTCCCTCACACCAGCCTCGCACTCCGCTCCAAACCCCGACACACAGGCACACCAGTTCTCCCACAAAATCGTGCACCACGCCCTCTTCGGGTCCAGCTCCGTCTGCCTGCGGAGCCGTCGAGCGGGACAGAAATTGTTGTCGGTAAGATGTCAGATTCGATTGTTTCTTCTGTAGGCGCTAAAATAGCTGAGAGCTGCTGTCGTCTCCTGGCATTTACAACTCATATACTTTCTCTTTACGGTGAATTTACCCGTTTCGAGCTCTCTCCCTGCTGGTACGATACAAATCCAGCTTCAGTCGAGCGCCAGGGTCTCTTGCGGAGAGCGGTTCTTGTCCCGACCCTTACAGTCATCGCCGAGAGATAGATGTTCCCCTATTTTCGTTACCTTGTCGTTCTTCCCGCAGCTAGAGCTGTGGGGAAAAAAGCGGCGAAAAATACCCTGTACTTCGTACTGAACAAAGAACAAACTCATCCATCGGAATTCGGAGAAATATTTTGGTTTCGCCTTGCTCCTGTTGCCAGACTCCGTTCATGGCTTGCACTATAGCAGTATTTGTGCACGCCAGTCCAGCTCCGCCTGCAGAGACTCTGTATTGATATAGTCTAGTAAGTCGTGGTTTGAAATCAATCGAGCTTCCAAAATATTGGGAACATATCATGAAACACACTTCATTTGTTGCGCTTCTTCGCTCGGGGTACATGAACCCTACGTTAGGCAAGGCAGATACAGGTTCAAGTTCGGCCCGCATCAGGCCTAAATGTCCCGGACCGCCGGAGATAGTCTATAGCCACTGACAGAAGAGGTGTGGGAATAACGTAGGTCAATGCATGTATGTATGTTGTGCGATCCAACTCGCTGGCGAAGCACGGTCAAAGCACGGTAACGGCCGGCAGCAGCAAGTTTTTCTGTAGTCACAGCACACGGGAGGGATGAAGGTGAAAACAAGCAGCAAGAAAATGAGGCGCAAACAACAGAGATGGAAGGCCGGAAATTGATAGGTGAATGGCAGTTCTACAGCACAGCACATGCAACAAGCGGCACGCAGCCATGCCTCGAGGGTTCATTCCAAACAAAGCAAGTACCATATTAGCTGCTCAGACCGTATGTATGTGTCTTTCACATGATTGTCGTGGCGGCATGTAAGTGATAGCATCCCCCACCTTGTAATCCTCCACCCCGCGTAGTGTGTCACCCATGCGCAAATACCAAATGCAAAGAGTAGACTACTATTAGAGTTTCTGTTGCAGCTTTTTACTTTTCGTCCAAAATCTATTTGCGGTTCTTTGCGGTTTCGATCTGGTGTCGAGACCCGCTCTGTTTTGTGATGCCGAGGACTAGATTGTGTAGTGTTTTCCCGGCTGTGTCCTGATGCACAGACGTCGTACAGCTTATCGTGGCCATTCTCCACAGCACCGCGCCATGTTGTCGTTGTGTCAGTAACTTCAACATGCAGCGTACGTACTGGTCGCAGACATGCATATCACGTGGTGCAGTTCCGATCACACCACCTTGCATCAAATCAGACCCTGGGCAGGGGATGTGATGTTGCAGCTGCGTGAGGTTTTCCAGTCGGCTTGGTGAGGTTCACGGATAGGCACGCCTCAAGGTGATGAGGGTGGGAGGAAGAGCATGCACAGCACTAGCACAGGGTGTTCAGCTCTGTACTCGTTATTCTCCAAATCGTGCAGTGAGGGACAGACTACAGGGAACGTCGTGAAAATCGAGCTTCACACAGCTCAAAGCCCACCATTTCCCTGGCAAGAAGCAAAGTGACGAGGCTGTTATAATCCTTCACGATTGAACTATTTTCTACAGTAAGTGCACAAACAAATCAAGACCAATATCCAGCCGTTCTTCCACAATCCGCTGCGAGTCTTCAGCACATTCCCTTGTACACAGGCTGTGCGTAGTA